TGATACCAGAGCCTGTCTGTATGATGTCTTGTGACGTCCATGGCCTACCCCAGTTACCACTACTGTGCATGTGTGTCAAGGACAGAAAGGCAGACGTGGCAGTGGAAGGTGTCAAAGCAGTTAAACAAAGTAAAGAACAAAAAAAAGAAAATGATTAATCGATTATTAAATTAGTCATTGATTATTTTAATAATCGATTAGTCATCGATTAATCAATTAATRGTGGCAGCCCTACTTACATCTACAGCTGATTAACCTTTGAAATATATCCAATTCAAGATTGCCATCCCAGCTCATTAGACTTGGCAAACACAAAACTAGCCATAGTTCGGCCAARTGTTGAAGTCCTGAGCTAAAGTTTTGTGTGAATTTTAGAGTTATTGCTTGTTATACTACCAGCGATAAAAGATCTTACTATCTTGCATAAAAATACCCATAATGTTATTTTCAAAACAAGACAATTTTAATTGGAAAAACTTAGGTCTGAAAGGTGGCCTTTGATTTTTCTTTGTGTTTTTTAATACATACTCATACATTTTATTCTTATTGAAAGGTAAAAACATAGAGATTAGTGTATGTATGTTCCCATTTCTGTTAAAAATAGCAACTGACACAGCAGTAATGTCAGTAACGCCTGGAAAAATGACAAGCAGAAGAATCAAGTAGAAATGTTCWTTGTGTTGTAACCTGCTGTACATAAAACCTTCACTACCACTGATCCTTCTCTCAACGCTCTGCTTCTAGTGCCCGACCAAKTGCGTCTGTGTGTGGTGAGCTGCAGGCCAAGGTGCTCCAGTGTTACAAAGAAAACCCACAGCAGACCCTGAGCTGTTCCAGCCTGGCCAAACAGTACATGATCTGTGTTCAGCAAGCAAAGAAGGTAAGAGGGGGCTGCTGTCTCTATGTGGGTGTGAAAATATAAGAAAATGAACAAAAACATCCAGCTGTGAATTTGTCCGATARTAAAAAGGCTTGTTGATGATCCTGACATTAAAAGAGAAAAACYCTCTTTTTAGTTCTTAAAAGGAACCTACATAAATTAGGAAAATCCTCATTTYGTTACAGACACCTCAGATCAGACATTAAATTGCACTTGCTTTCTGTTAGAAGGTTGAAGCCTTCAAAACTTTAAAATGCTTTCTGCTGATGCTTGAGCAAACAGTTTTCAAACCCCACACTTTTTTACAAAGTGCTTACAATATTTACCTTATTCAAATGGCACATTGATATTGCAATAAGCACTGATGTGACTATGAAGCTGTAAAAAGTTCAAAGCAACAAACGATGGAAGTTTTATATAAAAACAGCAAAAGCCATTGTGTTTATTTGTGTTTTRATATAAATTCAGTTGATGATCAAGTTCAGCCGTGCTTCATAGAAAATGACTACTAGGTTTTTTTTTAATGAGCATGATATTAGCATTGGTGATATAAATTMAGGGTGGGTGCTATTTTTCTTTTCCTTGAAGGATTTCTTTAATTCAGATTCAATCATAACTGTAAACGATTTAGTGGCACAGAGAACCGCAGTCAAACGAAAAACATTGAAGAAAAAGGCAAAAGTGGGGATAGTGAAATGTCAACTGACTGGGGGGTAAAAAGAGCTTTGGTTCATAAGTGGCACATAACCATCTCTCCTTTTTCCTGGATKAAAGATTTTTTATTTCCTGAGGACAGAAACCAGAAGTTTTGGGATATTTTTGCACAAAATTAAGATTGGACTTTCATGGATGCTGTATAGCTGTGTTTAAACAAATGACACAAAATAACAAAACAAATTTAGATCTCTGTTACAGTTTAGAATAAACCTTTAAATCACTTCACATACGGTATTATTAAAATGTTAAAAACATGAGTATGTCTGCTAAAAATACACAAACTCTGAGCTGTTTCCTTCCTAAAATTTAATTTTTCCCATGTAGAAAAACAATCCTGACCCAGACATTTTATCTTTGACATCTCTTCAGTCTAACCTTTCTTTATAGGGATAATCTATCAGAGATTAAATCTTTCATTTTACAGGCTGCTTGGCACAACTATTTTGAAGACGGTGGTTTTTTTAGATTGACCTTTGAGACTTCTGAAGTTTTGTTTCTCAATCTCAGACTTAAAACAGCTTATAAATGTTTCCAGATGTACAATTTAAACCTATAAGTCTGAAAGACTTCAGATTAAAGTGTGACATTAAACTTTCTCCAATCTTTTCTTCTATCATCTACTTCCAGTTGTTGGATTAGAAATAGTCAAAATATTGTGACAAAACTGAGCTTTTTTTTTCCTTATAACTGTTTATTTTCTTTTGCAAAATGGTTGGATAAATTTGAATTTAAAGTTTTATTTTTGTGTACATTTTAATAAATCAACTCAATGATGTAAGTAAACCAGGCATCATGTGTGGTTGAAGATTTGTATAACTTGGACCAATTCCCTGAACTATGAAGCAGGATTATTGGTTATTGAGGTAACTTCAGGTTTAGGTCAGAATTCTCAGTAATAAAAATGGTACACTACTGTTACTGCAGAAAATGGAAACCGAACTGCAGAGTAAGTTATTGTCCATTTTGAAGCATTTTCACTCGACACCTCAATTTCAATAATTGGTAGCATGAATGCTCAAATTTTGCCAGTAGCCAGAAAGTTATTGTTTGAGCTTGCTATTTGGGTTTGTGTCTACCAAATGTCAGGACTAGTAGCTGCAGAGTGGGCTGCAGATGGCCCAACAATCACAACTGAAGGCAAAACCTTCACCCATTCCCAGTCTCAGCTCAGTCTAAAACACATTATGTATACACCATATTTACCATAATCTCCATCCACAATGAATAAATGCCCATAAATTCTGTGCAGAAAAATAAAAAAAACATGGCCTAGAGCCTGCTCAAGGAGTGTTATTTTTTCCAAGTTTTCTTCCGAATGCCAGTATTGTTGTTTACACTGTTAGTTACACTACAAACAGCAAGTGTTATTAGCTAATTTGGTATACAGCGATAGTACATATTTACACATGCTAACAACAAAAGTGGATGCTGGAGACATTAAGAGCAAAGTGTTATTCACGGTGCTGAATGGTGTTTTATAGTTTTTTTAAGAAAACAACAATTTTAACTTTTAATTGAGACTTTTTTTGGAGTGTCTGTGTCACTCTACTGAACTTGCTACTTTAAAAGCTTATCTGAAGATATGTAAGACTTGGATCTGTATTCTAGTAACACCTTAGAACCGTGACTGAAATCCTGACCTGTACGACTGACTAAAAGAGAGATCAGAGGAGCTTCCACTGGAGGCTGCAGATCAGTCAGCTCTAATTAAAGGAAATTAGTGGGCAGTCCAAAGACCCCTCTAGACATGCAGGCAGCCGTCCATTTTGCCTGTCTAATAATAGATCTGTCAGAAGCGACTGTTTGGCAGAGCAGAGCAATTGGATCAGAGTTCAGCAAGGATAAGTTTCACTGTTTGCTGCAGTTGTTGGACTGTAAACAAGTAAGAATACTAAATGTTCTGCAGAAATAAAGGCTGACAAATTGTTTTTTAATGACAGCCAGTCCCTTTGGTTATGGTGAGTGAGGATGGATAAAGGATCCATCTAAGTGGGGACCTCGTAAGTGGGCCCATTGCTCTCCCCAAAATGATACTGAGGTTTAATCAAACCTTTGCATTCCTCGGATGAAGGACACAAGGTTAGAAACACTCAGTGTTCTGAGCTTCTCAAGATCCATAAAGGGGTCCCCAAGAATTATTTTCCTTTGACTCCTCAGAGCCAGGCAGTGGCCTAAGTAGTGCAAAGAGGTCTCTAATTCAATGCCACAGGCAACACACAGACCATTGTCATGGAGTACCATCACCATTTTGTGGCGGTTGAGCAGGTTGTGCCCAGTTAGGACTCCAACCAGTGTGTTTAGAGTTTTTCTTGTCAGGGCAATGAGAGCTTTCCCAAACTTAAGATTTGGGCCATTAATCATTTCCTCTGCCTGTCCCTAGTTCATCAAGTCCTTCCAGCTGATTGAGTGTTGATGTCTGACTATGACCTTGCAAATCCATCTGATAACTTTTGGGGTTGCACCCCAACGACTACCTGCAATTCAATGACACTGGTGTAGGCACATTACTGCCTTTTTACACTTTTCATTTACATGTCTTTTTCAGTTAAGCTTCCTGTCTAGATAGACACCCCAAAATTGAACCGATTCTGACAAGGAGAGTTCTACTCCCTCAAACTTTTGAGGTGTGTAACCCTTTCTTGACTTCTTATGAGTGAAAAGTCAGTCCTTAGAAATTAAGACAGCCAATGGAAAATTTGTGAAGCAAATTTGGTTTTGGCCCATAAATAAAACCTACTAGATTTTCAAATAAATATCAGTATGCATCCTTTCCCGCGCTGCAGGTTTTTGAAGGCTAAGTAATAATGCGGTTCCAAGTATCAGGCTGTTCATGCTTTGTCATACAAAAATATTAAACTGTAAGATAATAAAAGTTATTTTTTGTAAGAATAGAATAATTTACCTGTTGCTTTTCAGGAGGTAAGCAGTTCAAGAACCAACTCAGACATAACTTTCTAATTAATGAACAACAAGGAGCTCACAAGGGAATTTTTTTCAAATACAGTCCAGAGTACTAGCATTCAAATAGTTGTTTAGAATTCTACAGAGACCACATTCCCTCCTTTTTCTTTTTTATTTTCTTTTTCCTGAAGGACAACAAGGTTTCAACATATTTGTGAGATGATTTGGACAAACAGAAAAAGGTCATTTCTATTTAAACCAATAAACTAAATACATTTTTCATTCAGATACATACAACAGTTTGGATGCTGTTTTTTTTTACAGCTTTCTTCAACAATATTACAACTATTCAGTAGACAGCAWGGCTTTGAGGGTGGTGAAAACCTCCCAACAGCTTAAAAGCTTCACTCTTTTATCCTTTTATCTGTATGTGCTCTCATGGGTTTCCTACAATAGAWATATTCTCCCTTCTGATGAAGTGTGAATGCTGTATTTTTGTGACAAATGAATCTGTCTCCAGTTAATATGCTTTGTCTCTCACTTTTCTGTTTTAACATTATGACTTATACTGTAGTTTTAAATATAGTTATTTTTCCTCTTCCTTTACATGCACCTTGCTGTTATATTGGCTTAAAACCATGTTTATTCTTTCATATGTAATTATTTTCTAGCTGTTCAGTGTGTTTTGTTCCATACCAACATCCTTGTAAACCAGACAAGCATGTAAGCTCAGTTAGAGTCAGCAGAATCAGTTCTGACACTTGCTCACGGTTGAGATTTGACTTAACTATCTGCTGATGAAACCAGCAGCCAATTCGTTTTTTTCTTTTAATACCATAATTTTGAACTTACCATCACCAGAATGTTTATCTTCCACTCGTCATCTCCCGTTTGAAGTCCTCCCAGTTCATTATCCYCGGCGGCGCAGCCATCCTTATATTTCACTCTTTATTTTTTATAATTCATGCATGCACCCACGTGCACATTTTCCACACGTCCTTCTCTTTACCACCTGTTAAAGGCAGTTCAAGATAGGGCCTTTCACCTCCACTCAGCTATCACTTTTCTGTCTGTCTTCTGCCATGCTCTTTGCTTTGGCCATTGTCATGCATATTGCACCGTGTGTGTGTGTGTGTGTGTGTGTGTGTGTGTGTGTGTGTGTGTGTGTGTGTGTGTGTGTGTGTGTGTGTGTGTG